GATTTGGGCAGTCTGATGTGCTGAGGACTAGTGACTTGGCAGCTTAACATCTGGGAACAGACTGTAGCCCCTCACTTTCAGCAGCGCCCAAGCTCTGGCCCTGCTGCCCCCTCCCACACCACTGTGTCTAGGGACACCACCCCTGCCACCATCCCGAGCCTCTGCACCCTCGGCACACCCTGGTGACCATGCCACAGCCCTGCTCCCCTGGCAGAGCCGCAGGGCCACTAGAGAGGCCTTCACACAGCACAGAGATCTACCAAGAGCCCTGGACAATGGGATTTTGAATAAGAACACTAAGGCAGGCCAAGGATCCAGCCATCAACCGAAGCCACCAATTGAGCTGCTATGGGACTGATCTGCCACGACAAATGCCGGTAGAATACTAACTGGGTTTTTCATGGGCACCGCCAATTGCCTGGGAGAGTACCCAAGGGTGAGCCCACTGGTGGGAATTTGGCTGAGCAATCTGGGGCCATGCCAACTACCCAGAAACGAGCCAGTCAGTGGTAATCTGTCTGAACTTTTGTGGACACTGCAGACCAGCCAGAGGAGAGTGGGTTGGTGGGAATTTGACATTGACTTGTGTCCTGTTGGACTCAAGACCCTGCTTGAGCAAGTGCCACTGTGTGGGGGCACCTGCATAAGTGCCACTGGACAGGGACCGCTGAGTGAAAACCACTGGGTGGGAGACGGAGAACTGGAATTTGAATAGGGACCTCAATCGTAAGCAAACCCAGACAGCTCAGGTCTGAGTGAGGTCCTCCAAGTGGTTGACCTGCCTTTGGAATTGCCCCACTCCCATTTGGCTCCACACCTGGTCAATCAACCTGCCTTTAATTTGGAGCACCTTGACCTATCTTGCCTACAAGAGACTGCTCTTACAGGCTCTGAATTGACATTTCACTGGAGTTAGAAGGTCAGAGAAAAACACAAGTGGGGTAACTACCCAACTGATATCTAGAGCATTATCTTCAGATCAAGAACATATCAATGTTTCGAAGAAAGCAAGCTATCCCAAACACTACACAAGGGCAAAGCAAGATGCCACCCCCCCAAAAGGTGACACAGTATCAATAATGGATTTCCCGAAGCCAGAAAGTCTGATGGAACTTTCTGACACAGAAT